AAACGGGAGGCGCGGCCGCCGCCGGGCGGCGGGGAGGCGAGGCGAGGCGAGGCGGCGCCGCCCGGGGCTAGAGCAAGGCGGGCGCGGCCTTGACAAAGAGGCCTAGGGCAGCCCTGCTCGGCGAGAGCTTGGGCGTGTTCGGGGCGATGACTGAAGGCTTTTTTTTTTAACCCATGGCTTTGGCCTCTCCCCGCTGAGCTCTTTGCCTGCTCAGGAGTTTCAAAACTAGAACTGGAAGGAAAACCCGGATTAAAAAAGGGTAACGTTCTCCGAGCTGACCGGCAGGGGGGGGTGTGCTCGCCGTCTCTGGCTACGAGCACCTTCCCTGGTGCTGAACGAGGAGAGCCTAAGCCAACAAGCAAATCTCGGCCAATTCTAGCAGCTAGTTAAGAACAGCTTCTTTCATTGCACTCGGGGTTATTAACATAGTTCTGTAACTTGCGCTGAAAGAATATTATTGTTCATGTTCACTTGGTAAGTAGTGCATAATGGTTCTTCATAAGGGAATAAAATAGTCTAAATACTTTTGCCGGCACTAAAAACAACCAAACATACAGCGAAACCTGTTGAGTACTACGTTTGTGCGAGGAAGGGATGCCGGCGTAACATCTAAACTGCCCGAGTGACCACCTTGACAGTGTTTTGGTGTACTTGCGCCATGCATAGTGGCAGGTTAGGGTAGATCGAAAATCTACGCGTCACTTTTTAAAAGAACTCTGTAAATCCTGTTGTAAACTGGAAAAAAAGATCAATGTTACTTTTAAGCTACACTTCTCTCTAAAGCGCTAGGACAGTACGCTGCGCTATAACCAGGGAATGAAGCTGCTCGGCTGGAGAATTAAATTAGATGAAAGTTGGAAGAGTCAAACCGACAGCATAAGTCACAGAGAATATTTTGAATTGTTAGAAGGAAGGATTTTAAAGTCAAAAGTCCCAGTCTTCCAGCAGAATACAAATAGTACGCTGTGTCCCATTAGCGGTAACGAAAAGATCAGATTAGCTAATTGTAGCCTAACTTATTAGTTAAAACAAACAGACTATTTTTCTTAATGTAATTTTCCATCTTAACAAGAAGTTCTGCTAAATTGAGACATTATGTTTCTGTATATTAAAAGCTATAAACTAGCAATGCCCTGGAAGACTATGTTGGGAAAAGAACAACATTGTTAGTTTTGATGCCGCAGAGTTCTCAACTCCTGCCAAGAGTGTTTCAGGGAAACCAATATATATATTTTTAACTGGCTTCTTAAAGCTGCAGAGCAAGTTGTTCAGGATGCATGTCTATTTGCATGCTTTTAAAAGCAAGATATTATAAAAGTAGTGTATTTGGGCTTCTGCATTTCTTTTTAAAATTAACCCCCATGGCTCTGAATGTATATGTAATATATATTTAATTGCCATACTTCATAAATGCCTTTTGTATAAGCAGTCGCATTGAAAGTGCATAGCTTATACTTGGAAGGTTTTCTGAGTCTTAGAAGAAATTGAATTTATGATTTATTTTAAAAGGATTGAGGAAACCTCAGTTGCTGTATTAACTGCATAGAACATCGCTTTGGGCTGAGCGCGGGTACGTGTTAGAGCGGAGATTAGGTACAAGGAGGGGGCTGGAGCCATGTGGCAAGTGTCGGACTCAGCCTGGGGAAAGGCAGTGCTGTTGTGAAAAGAGGATCCAGGCCTAGGTCAGGGGTGGGAGGTCCAGGACTGGAACTGAGGGGTGGGCGGTCTCATGGGGATAGCTTGGCACTTGACTCTTCTCAGTTTTGGTGCAATTCACGCAGCAAGGAATTAAGAGGAAAAACAACAACATTGCCTGACTGTTTGTTGTTCTTGCATATCTCTGGGTTTTGTGGAACCTGAGCTGTTCTGGTGGGTGTGCTCAGAGATGGAGCTCCCGCTGTGAAAGGTGGGGGAAGCAAACTCCCATCCACTGCCAGGTCTCCTTTCCCTGACACTGTCATGACTGAAATTTTCTGCCCTAGTGAATGATTTTGCTGCACCTTGTTGCACTTTTGGTGGCTAGCAAGGATGGCTTAGAGCACAGCAGGGTGCAATCTTGTGTGGCCTCTGGGGGCAGATTAGGAAGACTCTAGCCTCCCTGTGAGGCTGATGGCTAAGTCTCTCACACTGGGGGAGTTCAGCAAAATCACACTTCGTTTTGTTTTTGTTACAGTTCCTGATGACTTGCTCCTGGGGTAAGTATCTTTTGGTTTAGTTCTTGTCCCAAGTGTTCTGCTAAAGGACAGTTGATAATCTGCTCTCATCATAGTACTGCTGAGTTTTTTTGTTTGTTTGTTTTTTTGCTGTGTTTGACTAGTACATGTTTCTCATGCGTTGTTGCTAAATGCTTTTGCTGGTAGGGGGAGTGGCTGTCCAAAACGACTTATCTCAAGAGTTTTTCCAAAGATTCATGATAATTCATGAAATTATCTCTGTATCACTGAATCTCCAGTGATGATTTGCTCTAATTTGGGATGGATTAGACATGCAGAAACCCAGAATGTTTCAGCTGAGCTCTGAGTCCACTCTCAGACCTGGAACAAGTTTTCTGTGAAAGCAGGCTGTGTTTCAAATGACTCATGCCACTGGAACACTGCATCTCCACTGCCTTCATATTGTGTCACCTTGAAGATTACCCTGAGAGTTTTCTTCTGTTTTGAGGAAATTTCAGGTCAGCTTCATTGCCCTTGCATTGACTGAAGTTTGGGAATACGTCAGTCATACCCAAGAATTGCCTCCTCCCAAGAGATCTGAGTGTTGTAACTTCTGCAGCCCTCACTGATCAGTGGCAGTGGCAGAGAAAAGGTACTGTCACTGTGATAAAGGCTTTTCACTTTCGTCTTCAGCTTTGTGTCCCTGCCTGCCTGTAATTTAGGCAAGAGAGGAGGTCACCAGGAACCTTTCGGGCCTCAATATCTAAAGTAACACAACATAGCACTCTCTACCTGTGAAAGGTATGCATGCTGGCTCCCTCTTCTGGGACCATTGCGACCCTTAAATGGTGAGATTGTATTTGACAAGTCTCATAACTTTTTGTTTCCTTCTTGTCATAAAATAAAAGAGTAGGAGAGAAATTCCCTTGTTAAGTTTAGTAATGGTTGGGTGGTAACACTTGGCAGTCGGATTGCCATCAATTCTCTGTGACCAGGGGCTCAGAAGTGTTCTCATTTCATTTCTGAATCTCTTCCAAATCTCTCCAGCCCTTGAATTTCCTTTGGGCATTCCCCTTACTTATTTCCTGTTAGACTGGTCAAACTATATACATGAAAAAAGAATTCCCCAAATTGGAAAGAGTTACTGAAACTCATTAGACTCAGCCCTCTTGTAGTCCCAAACCTAATCATTAAGGAATGTCTTACACTGAGTGTTCCCCCACCCACCTCTCAGTCCATCAGATGAATCCCTATCGCCTTGAGTTTTTGCCACTTAAGTTTTGGTCTTCCTGGAATAAGTCTGTCTGCTTGGCTTGTTATCAATGAGATTGACTCAGACACACAGGTCAACCGTATTGCTGAGACGCCAGGGCTCTGTCTTAGCTCTGTCTGTCTTGACTGGAGTTGGAAATGTTCCTCTGCTTTCTCTTGTTCGTGTTTTGAAATATCCTTTCATCACTGCTGATTTCCTGGTTGTTTACCTTTGTAACTAATCTAGACTACACAGATTTTTCTCAGTGGATAAAAGAGTAAAGATTATCTCTGTTACCCCTGAGCTCTTTGGAAGACATGCGAAGCGGCAGGATGTACAGATATAGAATAACTTTTAAGCCTAAGAGCTGTCTGGACAATAGGGTAAAGGTTGAGGTCTCCATATTTGACATATAATTTAGCATATACCCTTGCATGGCATCATCAGCAGATACAATCCTTCTTGAACTATTCTGGTAGCAGGATCAGAGATGTAAAACTATGGCTATCCAGTTGCTCCACATGCAGTGGAGCATCAGCAGTGTTTCCCCGATGGCCATTAGCTTCTGATTACTGCACTTTGGAGGGTAGAGAAGGTTAATTTATACCTCAGTTGTGACGGTGATCCAGAAGACATGATCACTCTAAAATGACACATTTGTGCCCCGGGGTATAAACCAGTTTTCCCTGGGACGAGAAAGTAGCCTTACTGCTGCATTTCCTACTGCCCAAGGAGTTGTCTGTCACCATTTCTCTCTCCTTGCTCTGAGGAATGACGTGTTGGCCATGACTAGAGGTGGGATTCCAGACCAAATGGATCAATAATCTGATGTGGGGCAACTCATCCAGGACAGTCTGTTGGTACAGCTAAGGTGTCCCAGAGCACAATCCCTTTTCTCTCTTACCGTTAGCAACTCCGTCTCCATGTTCTCTTGTTTTCCTGGTGCAGCCCCTGCTGAAATCCCTGTTTATGCACATTGCCCTCATGTGACAGTTTCACAGTGTTTGCTGCAACAGCGATCACTGGGCTACATGTGTGACGCTGCCTGTTGATAGTAACACCTGTTGGAGCCCTAGCACTGTGCATACCCCAGAATCTCCTTTCCGTAGCTTCTATTTGCCACCATGTCTTGCCATTGCTGCCAAAGGGGAGGAAGGCCCAGTGTATTTAGGGTGCTGGGCAGAAGCAAGATGTCTTTTCCAGCTTTACTGTCTAGCTTCACTGTTTGGTAAATTGGTTAAGCGACAGTGCTCTGTCTACACAGAGTTTGTATCAGAAGAGCTACAGGAATACTAACCAAAGAGCTGATCAGATCACTATAAGGACAGCCTGTCTCTTGCTTCACCCACTTCTTTTGCGACAATCAGTGACCTGTAAAGGGACTCTGTCAAGCCAAAAATGCTGTCCAAAGATAACTTCTCACCTACATGGCTAATACTGCTTCACAACAGTAGAGACTCAATATAAAACTCCCACTTGCATATCTCTGATGCACTTTGTCTCATTTTAGTTCAGCACAGGAACCACTTTATGTCCTGTTTGTGTAGCACAGAGCCAAAATTGTGTTTGGGTCATAGGGCTGAAGGAACAGATAAGCTGTAATGTGACCGTATAAGAAAAATTCTTAAAATGCCTTATAATTAAATTCTAGCAGGGTTTTGCAAAGAGATGTGGGGCTGTTTAGGAGCAGCTTGAAAATGTGGAAGTTCTCTAAAGAATATCAAAAACCACATAGATGCACAGAATAGCTGGCAGAATGGAGGCTGTCTTTAAGGACTGAGTCCTGTCTGTCTTCCAAGAGAGCGGCTGCCAGCTGGGATGCATCCAGGTTGTCTTAGAGAGCTGGTCAGGGGTTGGCAGTCACTTGGTGAAGGTCAGCAAAAATGAGAATAACTTACACACTTCGTTGCTTGGTGGCATAGTTAATGGACCTGGTAGTGGTGAGATTTTGAGTTGCAATGGGAGCCTTTGGCTACGGGCCTTCTGGTGTCCATAGGGTGAAATTATATGGATTAAGGCTAAGCCCCCTAAATAGAATTCTCATTTTGTGGTGTGACCTAACTAGATACACCTTGTCTTCCAGACTGAAGTTCATATTTGGCCCATCTGCTGTCCCAGCTTTGGATTTGGTGGATCAACGTTCTGTCACTCGAGTTGTGTCCCCTAGCGGAAGGACTGCATACCAGGTAGACACTGTTTTCTTCTGTTCTATCTCAGTTTCTGATAACTTTCAGTTGACGTGTGAGCCAGTATTTTCCTAACTCGCATAACAAGGAAATGCACTTGGATAAACACAGAGACAACATTAGTGTCTCGTAAATTCCTAAAGTGATACTGGAGAGCAGTAGCCACAGGCTAGAATTAGAACAGCGTTGTGCATTACAGTTTTATTTGCAGCTCCCAGCCAATCAAAGACCACTCCTGACATGCCTGTGGGTGTCAGGGTCAGAAGGATGCTTTGCGGGGATCACTGGTTTTGCTGTATTACTTTCATCCTATCCAGCAAAGGCGGTTCTTCCTCCTGACAAAGTGTATACAACACTGTTAAGTGCTGTCATCATGTTTCTTTCCCTGTTGCACTTGGTCTCCTCACTGTCCTGAACACTCTTGGCATCCAACCTGGCAATAGGATCCTTATTGCCTGGGAGGAGGCAACGCAGGCAAACCTGCATTGCAATGAAATGGCTTTCATCGCAGTTCATTGTAGCCAAGTCTGCGGATCACAGAAACATCTTCATCACTGGCATTTTAAGCAGAAAATCTCAACCTAGCCCTAAAGATCAAACTCCTTTTACAGCACAGGATCAGAGCTGGAGGTCAGGCGCATTAGCTGGAGGGAGAAACCAGTGGCGCTTCTTTCAAACTTTTCGGTGGTATGGACAGTTCCTTGTTCTTCTATGAGTGCTGTGCTGGGGCATCTCTGTTGGGGATGGTCTGTCAATTTTCTGTGACCTGCTGATCAGCTCCATCCAGCCCATGGAGTCACAGAGTTGGAGAGACGCTGTGTGCTGTGGCCCAGCTAAGGCTGTACAAGCAGTGGGATCCCTGTGCTCATAAGATTTTGGTGAAGAGGCACTTAATTGCTTCTGCTATTTAGTGCTACTAACCTCCCTTAGATGTCTCAGTCTCCTCTGTTGCTGAACCGGGTGCTTTGCTTTTTCACACATCAAAGAAGGGGGAATCTCTCTGCTTGCTGTTGCAAGAGCCAAGAGGAACATTTGCAAATATCCTCCCTGCAAAGGCCCTTCCCTGCTTCTCTGGAGGTGCTGAGATGCGCTGGGGTCTTCTGGAGTAAGAGAAGAGCTGGGAAGCCAGGCCTGGGTGATGACACAAACATTTTTCACGTGTTCAGAACTTGCATTGCTTGATTTGCATATGGAGTCTTCATCGCTTGTGGGGCATCTTTGGAGAGCGCATCTGACCCTCCGAAGAGGCATAATTCATAAACATACAAGGCTCAAGAACCACAGCCTCTGGTTTGAGTTGAGGGCTTGCCTCATCGGTGTTTAGCAATGCCTAAGAAGCACTGCTTCCAGGACCCTGAGACAGCAGTTCTCTCTAGGCATTTCTGTTTTTTGGGAAGCTGCCTCATTAACTGAAGCCTTAAAGGCTTTTCCTTTTTATTGCTGCTCTACTAAATATGCCACTGAGCAGAGAATGATCACATTCTCCTTGCAGGGCTTAGTCAGGCTATGTGGGCCAAGGCAGAGCATTGCAAACTGGGATGCACGGTTTTCACTCACCATGTTTTGATTTAAACGATACGGATGGCTGCTTGGAGCCTCTGGTCATGCAGAGTTATCTGCATCTCAGGAGGCTTGGTGTCCATCTCAGAGATGGAGGAAGCCTCATGAGGCAGGGAGGACACCAGAGAAGGATAGCGCTGCCATAATCTTTACCTGTTCCCCCTTCTGAGCCCCTTCTTGTCTTTTTTTGCCCAGTGACATGAGAGTTGTTGCTGTAGCTGTAGGATGCAGCTGTGTGAGGCCTTACAAGAGGGCTTTGTTGTGCCGTGTGTTGACCTGTCACCCTGTTCTAGTCTGGGCAGAGCTGCTCCTGCACGCTGCTGTCTCCAACTGTATGTGCTGCAGCAAGGCAGGCACTCCTCTATGCTGCCCAGCCCTCTTCCCACTGAAGTGAGGGGCTGAACCCTCTGCTGGAGGTAGTCCTGCAGTCACCAGGTGGGAGCTGGTCTTCTTGGTTCATTATTATCTACTGATGGCCCTGACAATTTGCTCAACTGATGTTCACTGGAAAAGAGTAGGTGTCAGGACTGCTCCCCTCCTACCTCTGCAGGTAGAGTGAGCCACTAGTTTTCCCTAAGGGGAAGGAACCGGTGGATAGGTAGGTCAGGACCAGTCACCAGGGCTTAATATAGGAGAAGCCCCATTTTTAATCCGGCACTGCCTGGCTGATGGCTGTGACCTAAGCAGTCCCCCTGCATCACCAAAGGTCTTGTGCCTACGTCCTCCCAGCTGACAGGCAACCAACATGAAGCTATTCCTGCCTGCAGGTGCAGATTTACTCTGAGCAGCATTCCTCTTTAGTGGAGCTTGATTTCTGATTAAGGCCATGCTGATGAGTTCATTAACAGAGGAATCTGAAGAGCTGTTTTCTCTGGGGGCAGGAGGCTGGTCCCATTGTGAAATTCTTCCTCAGCACAGCTGTCTTGGAGGCTGAAACAAAGAGCAGAGTCTCCCCTGAGGCCGTTGGCTGGAGCAGTGACAGGAACACAATCTGGGGCTGTAGAAACCAAAGCACTGAGTGGGACACTGCACTCAAAGTAGCTGGGTAGTGTCACTGGCTCCTGCTTCATGTGTGTGGTGTAAACACATACCCCAGCTGTGTGCACTTTTCCCTTAGCAGAGAAGCATGCCCAGCACAGTGGGAGGGGGACATCCGTAGCTACCTGGAACGCATGCACAGTCATCCATCTCACTTCCCCAGAAAGCCAGATCTGCCCCGCTGTTCATACCCAGATGTGGATGAGCTGGGATGTATCGTGGTGTCTTTGCTCTCAGCTGAATCTAGAGAACACTTCTCTTTGAGGCCGTGACACTCGCCCTGTTGTGAAACTTCTGCGTCCTCATAGCCAAATCTGAGAGGTTGATACTTTGCAGGTTAAAATGCTGTTTGTATTCATATCAACCAGCACATCTTGGGCACTGCTTTAGGGGAAGATGACTCTGCTCAAGCAGGCCCTAGGACTGCAGCCTGTACTGTAGGCAGCTCTTGCCCACAGGAACTGGGATGGGAGAGGAAAGAGCCCTCAGTGAAGTGAAAGCTTTGATTTGTCCTTAATGCCCAGGTATTAATGCCCCTGCTACTTACTGCAGGGGTAGCACTGATGGGGGGGTGCTCAACGGCTGATGTTACCTCAGAGTTGTTAATCACCCCAGAAGGAGCTTGTATAGTATCTGTCCACACTGCGGACTCAGCCCAACCCTTGTAACTCCAGAGCTGGTATAAGTCTTACCTGCTGCAGAGCTTGGGTGCAGAGATGGGGGGGGGATCCTGGCCAATGGTGCAGCTGTGCTGGATTTCAGCAGAAGTGCAAAGTGGTGAGTAGGCTGCTGTTGGAGCAGCTATTAGGTATGCCTGAGCTGCAGAAATGCTGTGAGCTGTGGGTGTAAAGCCAGCTAGCAGGGGAAGAGGCAGTGCTCTAGCGTTCCCTCCAACTGTCGCTTGGATTGCTGACATCCTACATTTTTATTGGATTCTTCTTTTTTATGTCTTTTTTTAATTAATTTCCTAGAACTCTATGGCAGCCTGCCCCACTGTCAGGATTAGAGCACCAGGTCCTGGCACAGACACGTGGTGCTGCCTAGCTGTATGCTGGTGGCAGCAGTAGCTACCACACAGTGCCAAAGCTGGACCTCCTGCATCGCAGCACGCTGGCAGTGACACCACCACCAAGGTGATTTTTCCTCTCTGGGCAGCCAGTGAGGCGCCGGGACATGAGGATAGTGGGAGGAAATCTCACAGCGTCTCAGGGCCAAGAGAGCTCCCTGGTTCCTGGCCTGGCTGCAGCTGAGCAGAAGTGGAGGCACCTTTTCCTCTTGGTCTTTGGATTTTAGATTCTGCCTTATTAGGCAATAGCTGCATTCTTGCCATCTAGGTCAGGACAGGAGAACACTAAACTCAGCCCAAATCTGGCAGTATCTGTGTTTTTCCCCCTCTCCTCAAAAGAAACACTTCTGAAAGAAAGGCACCCTCAGAATACTTCGTCTTGGAAAAAAACAATCAAAGGGGCTACAGAAAAACAAACTTATCACAAGTGAAACAAACTCAGCCGGGAGAAAAAGCAGGGCCTAGGGTAAAGGCCAGACTCCGGAAAAAAAGCCTTGTTTCCCTTGCAAATCTTGTGTCCTGAATCTGCTAGGAGAGCTGGGAGATATGAGATGTTGCTTTTCCTTGGGAAAGCTCATACTTGTCATAGGCATCATCTGCCAAGCAGGGGGCTGCAGAGAGCTGTGGGGCACAGGGGAGTGTCCCCCTTGCAAGTGCAGCTCTGAACCCAGAGGGATGGTGTTCCTCTGGAGGGGATGTATGGGCGCCAGGGACTTTCCAGAGGCAAGCAGCACTGCAGAGCTCCACTGTCTTGTCTTTCTTGGTGCTTAATCCTATGCATGCCATGAACCCAGAAAGCATCTAAGGCCTGGTATGGGAGAGGGTATGGTGTCCATGAGAGCCCGAAGGTTTGCACACAGAGGAGGGTACTGCCCATGATTACACGAGTATAAATTCCTGCTATTCTCTGGATCATCCAGTAAAAGTTAGTGCCAGGAACTTAAGCCATGTAACAGAGCTGCCACAAAGCCCTCGCTCTCTTGTCGTGTCAGATATTAGACAAATGGTGGCAAATATTGTGTTATAATTGTGTTTTGGCCATGGGGTGGGCTCAATTTAGGCCTTAAAGCATTAGTAAAGTTCATGCTATTGACTGCAGGTTTCTGCTGATAGTCTGCGAGTGTGTTCTCTTCCTGTGGACCCTTCACAATAGAAGGAGGGCAGAGCAGTTTGCTTTCAGAGTAGCTTTCTAAAAGCTGTTTTCCAGTCTTGCAGAAAGCAAAAGAGAAGTAATCGCTAGGGTGGCTTTTCTGTACTATGCAATCAGCTTCAGCAGCAGCCTGCACAGTTTGCCTGTCAGCTTCTCCACATTGGAAATGAATGCTTCCCTTGCCTGGCTGCCTGTGTCCTGTGCCTATGGTGCAGAAGAGATGTGCCTCAGTACCGGCCTCGCAAAGGAGCAGCATGTGGGAAAGGGAGACAGTGATGTTCCCAAACCAGAGATGGAGCAGGGAGGCTTCTTCTCTGGAGACTTGAACTTTGTTTATTCAGACAAAACTGGATTCCAATAGCTGCAGCTGTTTGTGGGAGCAAAACAGCAAGAGCCCTTGCAGCCTCCAGCCGCTGGAGTTGGTTAGGAAAGGCCTTGCTAGTGCTCACTGCTGTTCTCCTTCCATCCTCAGGTCTGTGCTGGCCCTGGATTCGCAAATGTGCTTTCTGTGACAAAGTAGTCTTGGTCATCTTCAGCCTTCCGATGCATCTGCCAATACTGGGAGAGGGAGCTTGCTGTGCTGCTGGCTTATAGAGATCAGGGGATGGGGGCTCTGTGCTCACTGGTACTGCCCTTTTCCTGATCTCTCAACAACAGACAAACAGCTGGAGCAGAGGTTTGCTGCCAGCATGGGTGCATTCCCATAGGGAGCATTTCCTCTCCAGTAGAAGAGAAGCGTGTAGAGCACTGTAAGAGAGCTGAGGAGTTTCTGGCTTCCTGTGGGTCCCTGGAGAGCGAGGCAGGGGGATGGAGCATATCTGTCCACTGCAGAACAAATGCCACATGGTATTCTCCTTAGGTGGGCCAGTACTCCCTTTCCCTCAGGATCCATCATGCCAGGAGGCAGCCAAGGAGGCTTGTGGCCTGCCCGGTAGCCTTCTCCCTCCCTTCCTCTGGGCCATGCTGACACAAGTGCTGTCCCTTGAGGGCATCGGCCTGCTGATTAGAGGGGAACTGCGGACTCTGGCCACCTGTATTTCTTCGCTGCAGTATTCTGCGAGAAACAATTGCTGCCCTTTGTGTATTGCGGCGCCTCTTTGCCTGATGCATGCTGTGAATCCCTGTGGGGGGGACGTCAGGCCAGATACTGGCTGGGAGTGAGAGAAGTTAAAAGATTCTTACCTCACCCATCTGTCTTTGTTTCAGGTCCTTGGGAGCTCAGGCAAACTGTACACCTGCTATAGTTCTTGCCACTTCTGCACGTGTCCTGCTTTTGGTTTCACTGTACTGCAGAAGAGCGAGAGCCTTTTGGTAAGTTGCCTGCCTTATCTTGGGCCCAGGACAGAGAAGGAGGAGAAGGCTCTGCTGATCTCTCCTCCTTGAACCCAAGCAGGCTGAAGTTTCCAAGAGAGCAAACACATGAGTGTTGAATTGGCCATGCAGGCTGTGGCTAACCCAGCGCATAATCAGGCCTCTGGGAGTCATGGTATCTGGGTGGAGCTACACCTACAAGGGTTTAGGAGGGCTTTTGTTCTTAATTACACATTAATATTCTGACTATCAAGAGGTGAATAATCCCTGCCCTCTTGGAACAAGGGCCGTTGTTGTAAATGTGGCAGCCCCATGGAGTCTGGCTGATGAGGTGGTGTGGTAAACCTAGTGCCAGTGAGGAAGGGCTCAGGGTAACTAATTGGCCTGTAAGTGTCCACCCACACCAACTCTCCCTCCCTCCAGGGGAAACCTTCTGTTCCAGGAGCTCCGTGAGCTGGGCCTAGTGCTGTTGTTTTCTAGAGGGCCTTGTGGGGTGCGTGAATGCTGCCAGGCAGTACCAAATCAACTGTTGTTCTCTATAGCCTGAACCCACCTGCTCCTGTGTCCAGCATGGAAAAGGCATTAGGATCTAGTAATGCTTTGTTGTGTGTCAGACCCTGTGTTATATTATCTTGATCATGGAGTTGACCTGGGGCCAACTGGAGCTCCAACCTGTGCTCGTGCTTGGGATGCCAAGAGGGAGCCATGTTTCTGAGAGGGGTGAGATCTTCATTACACACATCCTGGCCAGGATGGGTTTCTGTGGCTCCCAGATGCAACATGACGTTCCTGCATCACTCCTGCTGTTAACGTGCTTGTGCTATTATTTACAGTGCAAACATATACTTGCCGTCTACCTCAGCCAGGCCATGGGAGCATGCCAGGAACTAACTGTCTCTGAGGAGCAGCTCACGAGCATCTTACTGGCTGAGGAAGAGGAAGAAGGATGAAGGATTTGGATCACATGCAGATGTGCTTTCTGTGTACCCTCCCAGCTGCTCTGAGATGCATAACTGGCATTCCTACTCTCTACAAAGCTGTCAAATGTTCATTGTGGCTGGTAGGTTTCTTTCGCTGCTGCAGCCAAGCATGGCATTAAATAGCAGCCTTGCACTGATGGACTAATTAATAAATGTTAAGAAAGCTCAGCATGGGCAGAAACTGTATTGACATCAGGTTCATTTATTTAGGCTATTCTTGGATTTTTGAAGATGTTTGAACTGATCTGTAGTATTGGGCACTTGTAATGTGGAGATAGGAACAGTCCAGCAGCTCTCTTAGTGATTCATTAACACTTGTTATCTCTGCTCTTACTCTGACAGCAGCCCCAGCCCTTCCACCTCGAGGACTTGCATGGCTTTGTGGAATTGGCCTTTAAAAATTGGTAGAGTGAAGCTGCAGTGGCTTTATGCAGCTAGCTGCTCAGAGCACTTTCAAGATTTATCCCTGGCAAATGTGTATCAGGGGAAGGGCTACCTCAGTGCCTCAAGGCTGATGACAGTTCTGCTTTTCTACAAAGGCCTCATTGCTGCTGTGCTTACTGTAATATGGGGTATTTGGAAGAGTTGGCCTGGTCGCTTTGGTTTTAAATTGATCCAATTCAGATAAGCCTCTAGCACTTCATGCTAGCAGGCAAGGCAAGGGGTTATGGAACCATTTTCCCCTGTGAGAATCCCCTCTAGGATCATTGTCTTTTCCCCCATGTTAGAACTGGGTTGAAGTTGTCTCTGTTCTTGGTCCAGGACACAGTCTGCTGTGGTTCTGTCTGGTAAATGGTATTGGTAAGCTCTTACAGCTGCCCTCACAGAGCTGGAGCAAGGCTTGCTGCCCATGTCAGACATGGGCAAAAGGAAAACTGCTGCTCCCCCTATCCTGCACACCAGGTGAGTTCTCTCACTACCTGCCCGTGCTTTGAGGTAGGCCTAGGGCATTGCATATCCATCTCCTCCTCAGGTACAGCATAGGCTTGTATGATAACGCTGCTTGAACCCAACACCGAACAAAAAGACAGGGCACAGCCTGAGACAGGTTGTGTATATGGTAAATTAAGCATTCTGTATGGAAGTAACAAAGTTACTGCAATTACAAAATCTGAGCAACAAGAGAACACATCCATCCTATTTACATCAGAGCAGTAGCGAGTAATAGCTGAGCATGTACAGCAGTACTCACCATAGAAAGTTCCTCAGCCATTTTCACTTCACATTTTTATAGAAACCTTCAGAGCTTTTTTTGTGTGTTTGTGTTGGAGGGGTTCTGTTTTTATTTTGCCTTCAAATGACTTAGGCTTAGATCCATGAAGGCACTTATGTGCCTAAATACCAGAGTGCCCTGGGCCATAGTTAATAGTGGCTAATAACCCAAGGGCACATTCATACTAAGGAAACAACACATCTGTACAGGAATTCTGGCTCATAAGAGGCATATGAAAGGTAGCTGTAGGGGATGCTGATCTGCAGCGCAAGCTGTCACATGCAGGCAAGTGTTCTGGGACCGGCTCTTGCTCTATATTGCAGTACTGTGTGTTTCAGTCTGTTCTTTGCTGTCTGGATTTTGGTTCATTTTCAGACAACAGGAGGGGAGGGGAGGGATTACATTTTTTATTGTAAGGATAAATGTGGCTTGCAACCACTTTGCAATGCTGCCAGACCTGCAGGTGAAACCCTGGTTGTTTCCAGCCATGATTAACAGACGGAACGCAGCCAAAGATAATACAGAAGGGAAGGAACAAAGTAAGGAGAGAGCCAAACCCTGCCCAAACGGCAGGAGGAAGATACATCTGTTAGCTGGACCATGAACAAGGCAGATGCAGCAAAGCTGAACGGGGATGTTAAAGGATGAACACTGAGGACAGTAACTTTAACTATTTAGATTCTTTTTGGAAATGCCAGTATCTGAGATACCCAAAGCAGTTCTAGCCAAATTTGGACGTAGCATAAGCATCTGCAGTCCCATTCAGAGCATACTGGTGATTCACCAAGGTTTGAGTCTGGCTCTATCTAACTGTTGAGCTGCTATATACAAGGCAGCTAAATTCATCACTTCCTAGTGAACTGTCCTCTTGTGTGCATGCTGGGCCCTAGATCACACCTGCACCTGCTCCTTGCAGATCACACCAGCTAGCAGAGCAGATGCTGCTGTAGCAGAACTTGTTCAGATCAGATTTTCAGAGCTGTTTCTCAGTTGATTTTACAGGATGTTTGTCATCTATATATTCCAGAGAAATGAAACTTGGGGGGAGGGGGGGGAGGGGGTCTTATGTTGCACCACCCCTATAGTGCAATACAGTTAAAAAAATAAAAAGCTGGTATCTGTATAGTTCAAGTACAACTTATCAGGGACAAACTGCTCCAGGCAACACAGTCTGTCCACTGGGCCTATCCTTCAGGAACTGGATGTGTTTAAAGTTCCTTCCCTGCAACCTGACTCTAAAAGGACTGCTTCCTATCTCTGTCTCCTGGCATGGATTAGGAAGGCCAGTGTTATGGGTTACCATTGAAAGACATGTTAAATACCCATCCTTGCACTCCAGCTTCCCATCGATCGCATAGTGATGCTCCTTTTGGCATTGAGTGCTACAGAGACAAATACTACCACTTTTCTGCCACTCAAGAGCCATCAGGCAAGACTCCTGTTTTGTAAGTAGGCTACAACACTATGGCAGGTCTGATCTAGTCTCTGATCTGTCCTTTAACAAGACCCTTTTCCTTCCACAACCACTTTACGGCAGGAGCAGAAACATGGTATGCTTTGTGTCATAGTCTTTATCAGTCAAGCACAGACATGTCTCTGTACTAAAATCAACTTTTGGGCATGAAGGAGGGAGCCTGGTGTTTTTAACTCCCTTTCCTCCCCTCATTCCTCTCAGTTGTGGAATGAACTGCCCTGCTAAAAGACATACCAGAAACACTGATTCATTTACAGTAGTGCACATGTCTTCATGCAATTTGGAGAATGGAGCTCGTACTTTGGAAAATAATGCACTGTTCTTTCTACCTTTGTAAAGTTTTGCATACCACAGTTACACAGTAAATCAAGTGCAGTAATTAAAAACTGAGCTGTGGCTGCAGAGTTACTAACTTGCCGTACAAATTAAGACCGCTCTGCTGTTGGGTGGGCCTGTACTGTTAAAAGGCCAGGACTCTGCAGTTAGCCACAAAGTCAAGGCTAGAAAATCTATGGTGTGAGCTTGTTCCCCAAAGAGCTTGGCCAAGATCAGCTCGCAGGTCAAGGCATTCTAGTTTCTCAGGCAAATTAGTTCCCTTCCCGTGTCTTTTCCTACTGATGCAGGTCAGGATAAAACCTCCTCACTACTAGAAAAAGAGCACTCTCGACTTCTGAGGCTTACTGGGATGTACCTGAACCTCAGCAAGACCAGGTTTTAGGAATCAGGCGAGCTATCACAGCTAAAAACCTGTGCTTCTGGAGACACTGCAAGTCTATCAAGTTTTGACTTGAGAGCAAAGTCTGATTGTGGAGATCATGTCACCAAGGGAGTGTTTCCACTAACCTCAGAGACTTAGGATCAGACCATCTGTGACTACTGGGATGCTTCTGCCTTTTGAATTTTGATAACAGAAATTAGATTTGGTAAGAAACCTGAAGCATTGGTCTGAAGAATTTAGTAAATCCGGTAGAAGAAAGTGATTTAAAGACAATAAGACTGCTGTTGTATGTGACTTCGGTCAAGCCTTTTCTGAAAAGTTATCGTTTAATAAGTAGGGCTTCCGTACTGGGGCCAAAAATACATGGCCAGTTAATGATCTTGTTTTCCCATTAACACAATCGGTTCCTTCAGAGCCTGGAAACACAGATTCAGTTTCACACCAGCAATTGGTCTAAGTAAGACTTTTTTCCCATCAGAGAATACTAGCTGCATCAAACAATTGATGGAATAATTAGGGTATTACCAAAGTGCTGTCAAGTATGGACTTAAAGAACAACCCAAAAACAGACACAAAATTATTACTAAGTGAATCAAAAAAAAATAATAATAATAAAAATAAAGATCCTAGGACTTGACATGAGCAGCACAATTGGGGAAACACCCCCAGCAGGTGGGTCTTCCATAGTCAATGTTTGACCTGGAAAAAGAAATGCAATAAGATGACCAGCACTCATGCAACATGGGTTACAGTAGAGGGTGAGCTGCACGCAGTCTTCCCAGTCAGGTTATTCCTCTAGGAGGCACTATGTTAATAAAAAAAATAATAAAAAATACAGCTTCATAACTGCATAGTGGTCATCTCTGAGCACTCCTCTAGGAGTTAGCTGTTCACATAGGCACAAGGAAGGGTAGTGTCAGGGACAAACTGCAAAATCCTAGGAGCAGGACATGCAAGGTCATATGGTCACAGAGGCTGTTGGAGAGTTAATATTGGAGACAGTCAGGTGCTGGTTGTTGTCAGTGGAGCACTTAGGGAAGTCATCTGTCTTACAGAGGATCTTGGAAAGGATCTTACGGAATGTGTAGCGGAAGTCCCTGATCCTGTAGGCGTAGATGATGGGATTGATGACAGAGTTGGCGTGGGAGAGGATGATGGCCATATACATCATCCACTCAGGCTTGGATCTGGAGAATTCCTCATTGAAGAGAGTAATACAGTTCAAGATATGCAGAGGCAGCCAACAGAAGGCAAAAAGGCCTACGATGATGGCCAGAGACTTGGCTGCGTGGACCTCCTTCTGTAGTGTGGTCCTGGAGTTGCCCATCAGTTCAATCTGATGCAGCTGTTTACAGGCGACCATGAATATCTTAACGTAGATTCCAAGCATGATGACGAGTGGAAGCAGCACGCAGCCGAAGAAGTTGAAGTACACCATGTAGCTCATAGTTACCACATTCTCAAAGAGGCATGAGATGAAGCAGCCATGGTGTTCCTTCTCGGTGGCAGCCTCTGTCTCGTTGGTGGAGTTAGGACACCCACTCATGGCTTTATTCCAACCCATGAGTGGAGTCAGTCCAATTCCAAAGGACAGGACCCACAGCACCGCGATGAGTCCTCTTGCCCGCTTCCCAGTCACTAGACTATTATACCTACAGAATCAAGAACAAAAACCAAAATTGAGCCATTAAATAAATGAGCGTTTGTGACTTCCCTGCAGTTAAAGCCATCGGCCTTCTGGCCAACATCACAACAGCCCCACCCACACCTATGCAGGAATCTCACCTCTGTAATCATTGGGCGGGGCGGGGAGGGGGGGGGAATTCTCGTCTGCTCTATGTCTACACAAAGTGATTTGGGGAGGTGGTTCAGTTACCATTCCTGCAAGGTGCCAAGCACTGCCCCTTGCCCATGAACATCAGCCCTGTGCGACTCAGTAAAGGTAAGGACTTAGATTCTTGAAAGGGCTTTATCACTGCATGTCCCTAAACCACCTACTGCAAGGAGGGCAAGTACAGTGGGAAGGCTCATTCTGTAACCACCAACTTATTCTCCTGCTGTAAGCATCCACTACTGGGCATGCCAGGGCAGGCTGCATGGACTTTTGGGCCGACTTATTACAGCTGAGCCAAGTCTGGCTCTTAATTGTACGCTGTAACGGGCAGCTAAGGACTTGGCC